AAAAAAAAAAAAAAAAGATAAATTGCTTCGAGCTCGTCTCATGACACCTTATTCAAAATAAAAAAAATAAAAAAAAAAACATAAATGACAAATTTCTAACAAGAGCAATCGTAGGGGCACTCGCCTCTTGCACTCTCCGGCCAACACTTTCTCTTTTATTGGGCCACGTTATTTTGGTTTCCCAGAGGTTGCGTTGAAAGCTTTAAAGAAGCTTACGTGGCCCAATGAAAGGGGAAGTGCCGGGCGGAGAATGCAAAAAGCGAGTGCCCCTAGCACTGCTCATGGAGTAAATAATACCTAAAATGCTTATTTTCACCCAAAAAAAAGAAAGAAGAAAAAAAATTACTATCAATGTTGAGACGAATAGAAAAGAATTGGAGAAAGAAAGGGCATTTTTGTTGTATAGGTCGCCATCAGGAAGAATAAGGAGATGGAGTCTGTGCGGCATGTGATATTTTCTTCGTAGATTCTACGAGAGAAGCTAAAGGCGAAGCTTCGGTTGTACCGTTTCCTGTTTGCACAAACGCCTGGATTCTATTCAGAGCAACTTTCGCAGTTTCGTCGTCCATGTGCGCGAAGCACACCCTGAACCACCCTGGCTCCAATCCATGGAACGATGATCCCGGCGAGACGTTGAGTTTAACTTCGTCGACAATCACCCGCCACAACTCTAGTTCTGCGTCAAAAGTTTGTTCCTTAAGAAGCGGGCGCAGATCCATCCAGAAGAACAGCCCCGCATTACTTTCCAGGTAAAAGACCCCTGCCTCTTTTAGTCCCTCGGTAAGAAAATGATATCGTTTTGCCAGCCGTTTCGAGCTTTCCAATAAAAAGTTGTCGATGAATTTCTCGTCGGAAAGGAGTGCAGCGAGGAAGTGTTGACTCTGAGACGAAACCAGTCCAAAACTGGACATTTTTCGAGCGCAACTGACGACGGTGTCATTGTAGGAATAAACTATTCCGACACGAAAACCGGGAAGGCCAAGGTCCTTGGACAAGCTGTAAATGATGTGAATAAGGTCGGGGTTGCAATGCTCAACTTCTTGCATGACCTCAGCAACGCTGACGAATCTTTGGGCCGTGAACGCGGTGGCGCTGTAGATTTCGTCGCAGACAAGGTGGATGTTTTTTTCGTTCACAAAGGTGACGAGGGCTTTAAGTGTCTCCCTGTCCAAGGTGATCCCTAGAGGGTTTGAAGGGTTAGTTAAGAGCAAGCCTTTAACATTGATGTTCGATTCCAGGGCCTCTTTGTAGGCCTCTTCCACAGCTGTCCTGGTTAGCCGAAAACCGTTGGAGCTGCTGCAGTTCACCGGAACTATTTGTGCCCTCGTTCGCCACCTTAGGTCCCGATCAAATCTGCAACCAAAACAACATTGTTAACTTGACCGACCAAAAAAAAACTACTATTTACTTTAAACTATCATTTCTAAGATAGAACGTACGGAATGCTATACTGTTTCATCAGCTAGCAAAGAAGGTCAAGGAATTCTGATCACTATCACTTTCTGGGAAGTTGTCATTTAATATTTGATATGATCATAATCTTTTGAGATCAATTTTACGTATTTTTTACGGGTATAGTCTATGGTACCAGTGAAGAAGATTAACTTCGTTTTGAAGTCTATCATGGAAAAAATGCAAAAGGGGGAGGAAATTGTTTTGGTAAAAGATTGAGACGGATATGGAAAAGAAGAACATGAGGTTGGAAAATACTTTCCAGGAAAATCTATCTGAATGTTTGAAGTCAAAAATCAATATGAAAAAGAGTCCAATAAACTTTATGAAATGATGGCATATTTCTATATATGTTTTGACTAATGTAGAATATTAAGTAATGAAGTAATTGAATTAATTAACAAGAACAAAATAATATGACTTTGACCTAACTCTTTGAATCAAACTCTATTTGGATAATTATTACTGACCTTTTGGACATAAAATAAAATTCAAAATATAGACTACCCAAAAAAAAAAACTGTTTCAGTTATACCCTGGTGGTCCGATTCCTCCCCCATGAATAGGAAAAAAATTAGATTATATATATGTTGATATATATTTGCTCACGGGCAATGTGAAAACTAGACATTTCTTAACTAATTAATGTGGAATGTTGAATCACATTGTTCTTCTGGTCATAAACTTGAAAAGGAGGAAGAAGAAGGAGAATTGAAGATTAAAGAGAAACTGAGGTATTAAAGTTAATCAGAACTTACGCCGCGTAATAAGGTGATGGGACAAGAAACGCGTCGTCAGGGTCAGCCAAGCAAAACATGATAGTCTCATTTGCTCCGGTGGCACCGCCACTCATAACAATCCGGGCGGGATCAAATGTCACCCTGTTACCTCTCACTTTTCCCATGAACTTCGCAACAGCCTGTAAAAAAATCAGTAACGCTGACACCTTGTTATATGTTTTCTAATCATCGTTTCTTGCGTCGGCAGAGTATTTTTGAAGATATTTTTACCTCTCTGAAATATGTAAGTCCATGGTAGTCCTGAAATATGGCAATCTCTTTGAACTCATTAACTCCTTCCGGTGTGCAAATGGAGGCCTCGGGGTTTTCTTTAATCCATTTTGTAATCAGATCAAAACAAAGCTGAGGAAAAAAGGAAAAAAGAAAACGTTTTATTTTTAAACACTGTTAGATGTCAAAAGAAAAGAAATCAATCAATTATTTATTAATTCAAATTAAAGAAACTTGATTTTTTTTAAAATAAAATTTTAAATTTAAATTTTATAAATAAAAAATAAATATTAAAAAATTTTCTTCTAGCAAGCCTGGAAAACGTTTTCCGAGCAAACCTGATTCTCGGCAAGTCCCATTTGTATAACTCCATTTGGATTCTGAGTTGGATGGAAAGGGTTTCTTTCGTACGCATACCATCCGTGGAAATACGGTATATTCTCACCGTGCCCATCGTTAGTTGCAATCCTAGACAAAAGTGGCTGCTTCGTATTGTTGGCCATTATTTCTTAAGGTTTTGAGAGGGAAAATAAGTGGTGGAATTAATGAGAATATTGTGTAAGGCTGTTAGCCCGTAGGAAAGGGGAAACGGAGGAATTGGACTGTGCAGTGAGACACAAATGCGAGGTAATAT